ACATGTTATTGATGATGGATATTGTGTTAAATTTGTATTTAATTGATCCATAATTGTATAATGATTTATTGATAATTGTGTAAATGGTATTATTTGTATGGATTTTAATATAATTGCATATGGAAATTGTAATGTTAATGTACAACGTTGTTCATTTGGTAAATATGTATATGACCATGGTGGTGAACGTAAACGACGTGATGATGATGTTATTGTTGTTGTTTGAAGATTATTATTTGATTTTAATAATATTTCAGGTGATATTACATTTGAATTTGAACATATTATTTGACATTGTGATGATAAATTTATTGAACCAATATCCATTGTATTATTTAATGATTGTCTTTGATCATAAATACGTTGTATTGATGGTATTTGTGTTTGATTTGTTAAATAATTTGAATATATTAATAAATTATTAACTAATAAATCAAGTAGTTTATATTGATTTAATGCTTGAAATAATATTTTTGTATTATGTATTGAATAAATAATAAATAATAATAATGGTGATGATAATAATGGATTTGTTGTTAAATAATGACATAATATTGGTAAAAGATAATTTGGTTGTGATATAAATGTTGTTAAGCAATAATAAATACTATCACCAACTGATATTAAATCATTTAAATTTAAATGTATTGTTGTATGTATAAATGATGAATATTGATTTGTTGATGTTATTGATGCAGCAAGAAATTTTGTTGATGAATTTAATGATATTGATGGTGTTGAATCAAGTGATGAGTGACATATTGAAAGAAGTTTTTCAATATAAATTGTTTCAAGTATATCATCATTATGTTCATCTTCAATTTCATTTATTTTTATATTTATTTCTTCATTTTTAAAACGTTTACGTTGTTGATCAATTGTTTGATTTGTATTTTCTATTAATTTTGTTATTAATAATATCATTTGTCGTACACATGTATCATATAAATTACATTGACGACGTATTGGTGATGATGATGATGATTGATTATTTTGTAGAGAAAGTTTATTAACTGTATTCATTAATTGCCATTTATTTACAGATGATGAAGGTATTAATGAACTTGAAGAAGATGATGATGATGATGATGATGATGATGATAATGATGTTGATGTTTGACGATGATGTATTCGATCATAATTAAGAAAGTATATTAATGGATGAATATCATTTTGAGTAAATGATAATGGTGAATATGAATAACAAAATGACCAAACAAAATCAATTATATTAC